GCAGGCGGAAGTCATGCTTGCCCAGCTCAAACATGGAGAGCAGGAAGACCTTGGGGTCCTCCAGGCCCTCCGCTGCAGGAGACAGGGGCACCGCTCATTGGTTTCCACACCAGGGAGGCCGCCTTGTCACCCTGGTGACAAGCACTTGCCACCTGAGTCTGCACAGCCTGTGCCCTAAGAGTGTGGGCCCCAGAGCCGGGCTGCCTGAGCACAGGTAGGAGCCTTGCTACCTGCCACCTGCGTGGCCTTGGGCAAGTTACCAAACCTCTCTGGTCTGTAAGATAAGGTGATGGCTGTACCTACGTCCTAGGGAGGTGGTGGTGGTGAACTGGTTTCATGAGAATGGCGCCTGGCCCGTGCTGAGCCCTCAGTCAACGTCAGGTGCCGCGAGCCGCAGGTGCCAGCACCTGCATGGGCGCATGGCATCGCACTGCTCCAACTGGTAACCCATACACAGGCCGATACACCCCCTTTTTTCCTTAATGCAGGCGGTCGGCCTCTGTCACCTGTGACTGAAAAGTGCCAACTCCCAGGAAATGTAGTGTGAGGCCTGACACTGGCTTTTCTGTCTGTGCCACAAGTGCCCGACTGAGGCTTTGACGGCAGAGACGTCCATTTCGGAGCGGGCTGTCTCGAATAAGCCCGTGGCTGCCAAGTTGCCTCCCTTCCCCCGTCGGGGCTCCTTTGTTTGCGAACACTTGATTGGTTGCCATATCCAACTATTTGGGCCACTTTATTTTCTCTTCTTGTGTTTCAAAGGGCTGCTCATGTGTTTTAAACTCACCAATGAAGAGCCCCAGGACCCTAGGCCCCCACCCACAGTCAACCCCAATTAAAGCAGCAGCTCAGGCTATTGCTGGAGGGCGTCAGAACGCTGAGGGGCCTGTTCAGTCCTGAAGGGTGACCATTCTGGATCCCGGTGGGAAGATGAAGGGGAAGGGGCAGGCACTCCCTCTAGAATCCACCCACCCCCACGTCCGCGGAGCTGCACCTCACCTTCCAGCCGCTGCAAACAGTCATCCCGGATCTGGCTTAGCACCTGCTCCTTGGAGAAGGTGCTGGGGCGGCGACTGCGCGAGGCGGCCAGGTCCACGTCCACCTTGGAGCGGACGAAGTGGAAGCCCTTGCTCCGCTGTCGGATCCCGCGGGCCAGCTGGGCGTGCTTGGCAGTGAAGCTCTCTGAGGTGATGATTATGAAGAAGTCGTAACGGTCCACCAGTACCCGCTGGAGGTATTTTTCAGCCTGGAAGGTGGGTTCGCCTATGCCCGGCAGGTCCCAGACGATGACATTGGGGTACTTGGGGTGTGGGTACGGCGTGGGCTCCACAGTCATTTCCACCACGCCCGTGCGGGCCGAGCTGGGGTCCTCATCTCCCAGCCCCCGGATGGCGTTGACAAAGGTCGACTTGCCTGAGCCCGTCCCCCCTGTGATGCCGATGTCCAGCCTGCCATTCTCCAGCGAATGAAGTGTGGCCTGCAGCTTGGTGGCCACGGCTGGCAGGCTCCCTGCCTCGAAGGCCTCCCTCAGAGCCGTGGTGTCCTTTACCAGCTGCAATATCTGGGATTGGCTGAGGCCTAACTGGAAAATGTTGCTTGCCATGGACTGCCTGACTCCCGGTCTTCTTCAGGACTCGGCGACCTTTGGCGGGACAGGTAAGGGACTATTTTCACCCTGAGTTGCCCTGTCTTCTCTCCAGCCCTCAGCAACCCCAAGGCATTTGTGGCGTCACCAGTAATAGTACTGGTGTAACGTTAGGCCAGGCCCAGTGTTAAATATTCTAGTTAACATTTATTCATCGCTGCCAGCCTCGCTTCCTAGAATTTCTCATAAAATCCTCAAGAGCCAGAAAAGGAGATCCCCTTCCTACCCACGTTCGGCAGGGAGGAGGCAGGTCCCTTGCCCAAGGCCTCCAGCTAGTGTGTGGGGGTTGGGGATGGGACTGAGGTCCTCTGATCCTAGAATGCCAATTCTTTATTAAAATTTTTTTTTATTTATTGAATTTTACAGAGAGAGGGGAAAGGTAAGAGAGAGATTGATTTGTTGTTTCACTGACTTACACATTCATTAGCTGCTTCTTGTGTGTGCCCTGACCGGGGATCAAACCTGCAACCGTGGTGTGTTGGGACGACACTCTAACCAGCAGAGCTACCGGGCCAAGGCTAGAATTCCAATTCCTAGACAACTTTTGGGGATGTGGTCCCTGCACCAGGCAGGCACTGCAATCAACAATACAGGTCAGTGATGAAGAGCTGGAACCCTCATCATCGTTAACAGTAGTTAGTTTAGGTAATGTTCACCCTGGGCCAGCCCCTGGTCTAACCAGGTGCAGCATTTCATTAAGTCCCCGTTTGACAGAGTAGGACACAGGCTCAGGGAGGTACAAGTCCCTTGCCAAGTGACTGACAGCCTGTACCAGAACCAGGATAAGGACCGGCTCCCTCTGGTGCTTTTTGGTTGATTTGGGGTTTTTGTTTTTCCTCCTGTGTTTTCCTCTGATCCTGTAGCCATACAAAACCCCCTGGTCCTCACACAATTCAGCACCCACTATGTGCCAGGACCTCTTTGGGTGCTATGGTTCCACCACCAGGAAAAGAGACCCAAGGGATCCAGTGCATGTGTGGGAACATTGCCCACCTGGCCGCCTGGCCTCCGAGCGCCCCTCGGCTCTGCACCCGCAGTGCGCACCTGGGTGAGCCCCGTCCAGCTCCGGGCCTCAGAGTCCTTGCCCAGGGTGGGCGGGGGCTGCCAGCGCTCACGTGGAATTGCATGACTGCATCTAGTCCCCGCCATGCCAGGGACTTGCCGGTGACACAGCAAGTCATGTGCCCTGTGCGGCCTTTATCTCCTCCACCCATGAGGGGTGGGGTGTTGGCTTCCTCACCTGTGGGATGCAGAGATGACTCCTCGGAGGCCCCCAGCTCTGCTGTTTCAGGAAGACCGGGAGCTTATGGTTGATGAGGTGCAGGCGGGGGCCAGCTTGGGAGGGCCTTGGAACATCAGGCTGGGCTTGATCTTTATCTGTGGGTAGCCATGGAAAGGGCTTGAGCAGGGGAGGGAGTGATCTGCCATGGGCATCGGAGTCCTTCTTCTGTGGCCTTATGGGAAATGAGACTAGAGCCTGGGAGAGGGGGGAGGGAGGGGCTGGGGCAGCAACTGGGGGGGTGGGGGAGAGGCGAGGCCTGAGCTGGACCAGGGGCTCAGGGGGTTGAGATGGGGGAATGGAGAGATGGGGGCAGAAGGGCCAGGACATGGTGGCTATTAGAGACAAAAGTAACCCATTGTAACCCATTCTGTCTCTCCTAACCCCAGGCGCAGGGTGGTGAGAGCACTCACTCCTCGCGCCCACCTTTCCGTCCCTGCCCCTCGGGGCCAGTGAGTCCTGTGTTCAGGGTGAAGTCTGAGAGCCCACCGGTGTGGGGGTGTGGGCTGTACTCCGAGAATGGATCTGGAAAGGACCCGCTGTCTTCTGCATCTGAGGTCTGGGATTTCTCTCCCACGATCCCCCGCACCCCTTTCGGTGCAGAAGGACCCACGTGAACCCCTGTTGTCTGGCAAAGCCAATGAATGGGGAGGCCTCTAGGAGGAGAGGAACCCCTTCTGCAAAGGGGAGAGCTCTTGAGCTGAGAGAATTGGTACTCCCTTTAATTGTGCAAGTCAAAGCGGACCCTCTGAGTCGGGAACTGTTTCCTAGGGTCACAGGTAATTTGAGGCCCCAAAATGAGGCCAGAACCATCACCAGATCCTGGAAAGCCCACGGGGAATATTTGTGAGCACTTAGGGTGAGGCCACCTCCCCACCCCATAGTCCCCATTTTGCCACCGGCCTTGTGCACAGCCTCCAGGGCCTTCTGGGACTTGCTGGGAGCTCTCCCTTCTTCTGTGCACCTAAATCCGATCCCTGCCTGACCCTTGCCCAAGGCCACAGAAGTCTTGGGGTGACCCATCCTGTCCAGGGCCCCCAGTCCAGTAGTTCTTGGATTTTTTTAAACATGTGTGAGCTTTGAATCAGCTGAGGAATTTGGTTTCCCTGGGCCACCTGGTCCAGACACAGATGTGCACACCCAGTGTGTTGCACGTTCTCTGTCACTCAGCCCTGTGAAGCTTTCGGATCCCAACGCAGTCGCCATCGCTTTGAGACCCGCGGCCTTTCAGCACATTCCCGGTGCTCGCTAGGGGGCGCACGTGTGCGCTCACTCTCACAGGCACAAGCCAACCATGCAGACAGGTATCTCCAGTCTCAGCAAACTACTCAAAATCAGGAAGACTCACCAGGATTCCTCCCAGTCAGACACACCAGCACACATACCGCCCCACGCAGTCACACTCAGACACACCCGCCACCTTTCAGAAACCGTCCTGCTAGGTGGCGGAGTTGTGCCCTCCGCCTCCTCACCCCCTTGATGCTCAGAGGACCCGCCTGCCCACCCGCTCACCACCTCCACACTGAGGCCCGCCCAGGGGCCATGCGGCTCCCCCTCTGCCCACCACCCGGCCCGCCATCACTCACAGGCAGCAGTGCTGGCCCGAGAGGCCCTGCGCCTGCCTCTACTGAACCCAGTTGCTAGGCACCATTGTGCCAATCCTGGGCACCCATTGGCTGCCCCTCCCCCCTCCAGAGGAGGCCTTCCTTCGGGGCGCTGGGGTTCTCTGGAAGGGGCATGCCTTTGCAACTAAAATAAGCGCCTTTGCAGGCCCTGATCCCCACTCAGCCACCCACCGCAGGTTGACAGGTGGCCCCTGTCTTGGATCCAGGTCACCCCACAATCCCCCTTGACCACCTAGGGACCAGGGAGAGAGGGGTCGCCAAGGAGACCTCGGCCCGCCACCCATTCCCAGAACTTGCCTCTCCCCGGAGTCCATTCCTAGCCCTGCTCAGTGCGCCCCCCTCAGGGCCCTCCGCACCCTGCCCCTCAGCGACTGCTCCGACGCGGCCTTTCGTTTGTCTGGCTTTATTCAGGCGCGGTTTGCGGACGAGGCGGGGAGGGCGGGGCTGCGCGCGTCTACTTCTCTTCCAAGTCCCGCTTCTTCCAGTTGTCCAGGATGTACTTGAGCAGGAGGCCGAGCTTCCGGCGGATGGAGCTTGGGGCGTCCTCGCCCCCGCCCTCCCCGGACCCGTGGCTTTCCACACGGTTGTCGCCCGCCGCCTCCAAGCTGACCTCGGACTGGGGCTCGTCCTCCTCCAGGGCCTTGATGCGCACCCGCTGCGCGTCCTCCGCCATCTCGTTGAGGCAGCCCTGGAGCATGGTGTAGACGGTGCCGAAGCTGATGCCGCCGGCCACGAGCGTGCCGAACACGGGGATGCCCTTCTCGAAGGCCCGGGCCACCCTCATGGCGCCGTTGGACGACTGCGAGTAGAGCCGCAGGACAGACTCGGGCGAGACCTCGTTGGCCAGCGGCGAGCGGATGACGGAGCGCAGGTCGCCGGCCTGTTTGCCCACCTGCTCCGCCAGCCTGGCCAGCGAGTCGTCGTCCAGGCCGAAGCTGCGGTGGTAGCCGCGCAGCGAGCGGACCAGCAGGGCGTCGTCGTAGGCGGCCGCCAGCCCCGGCACCGGCAGGGCCTGGATGATGCCGGACACCAGCGCCGTCTTGAGCACTTGCTCCTGCAGCATGTCCTTCTTCTTCTGCACGGCCTCCAGCGAGACGTCGGGCAGCGACAGCAGGCCGGCGTGGCGCCGGTGGGCGGGCAGGTCGTGCTCCCAGGTGGACAGCAGCAGCGGGAAGTCGTAGAGCACCGGCTTCAGGTTGGACACGAGGAAGATGCGGGGCTCGGGCACCCCGGCCGCGCGCAGCTGCTCGGCGCAGTGGTCGCGGATCTCCTGCAGCACCGCGGCCTCGCTGAAGCCGGAGGGCCGCTGCGTGCGCGTGGCCGCCAGGTCCTCGTCCACCTTGGTGCGCACGAAGTAGAACTTCTTGCCCTGGCGCAGGATCTCCGAGGCCAGGCGCGTCTCCACGGCCCCGCAGCGGCGGGCGGAGACCAGCAGGAAGAAGTCGTAGTGGCCGAAGTCCACCTGCTTCAGGTACTTGTCAGCGGAGCAGGCGGGAGAGCCGGCCCCGGGCAGGTCCCACAGGGTCACGTCGGGAAACTGTGGGTGTGGGTAGGACGAGGGGTGCATCGTGGTCTCCACGACGCCGGTGAGAGCCGCACCGGGGTCCTCGGCCCCCAGGCCGCGGAGGGCGTTGATGAGCGACGACTTGCCGGCGCCAGACTCGCCGGTGATACCCACCTCCAGGCGGGTGCTCTCGGAGGAGGCCAGCAGCTCCCGGAGGCGAGAGGCGGCCTGGGGGATGTCTCCGGACTCGAAGGCGGTGCGCAGGGCCTCCAGCTCTTCTTTAGCCATGAGGATGGTGGTCTCCTCCTCCCCGGGACACTTTGAAGTGGCCATGGCTCAGGGGTGCGGGGGGATGGGAGAGTGACAGGACCAGGGGTCCTGGTGTCTGGGGGCAGAGAAGGGAGCCTTTCACGTCTCCTGGGCCTTGCATGGGGCAGGGGACACCCAGGACATACAGGCAGACCCCCCCCTCTGGCACCTCACAGCCCTCTCCTTCTCAAACAGCCCCCCGGGGGCGGGGCATTTTGGACATGAATTAGGGGCCTTTGGAGTCTGTCAGGCCCGGGTCTGCATCCCATCTCTGCCGCTAACTTGCTGTGTGACCTGGGGCAAAATGAAGCCCCTCTCTGGGCCTGTTGGCTCCTCTGGAGAGCGGGCATGCTGACTGAACTGCCTGCAGCGGCACCGGGGAGTCTCTGGGATAATGGAGGGATGGGAGCGTTTTGTGGGCAGCTACAACCTGGGCAGCCACCTGAGGCCCAGCTCCTGGATTAATGCTTATCTGCAGACACTGATTGAAATTTTTCATAACATTCGAACCAAGGCCCCGTGGTTTTCTTTTGCGCTGGGTCCGCAGATGGTGCAGCCGGGCCTGCCAAGGAGAGGGCTGATGCCCAGCTCCTGGGCGCAGTCGAAGATGGCAGCTGCGCTCCTGCCACCACGGTCACTGCGAGCAGCGTGACTCCAGGGCGAAGGACACCCACACCCTGGGATCCACTCCCGGCTCTGCCACAAAGTGGCTAAGGATTCGGGGCAAGCTACTCGCGCTCCACCTCACTTCCCTCGTCAGATGAGGATAACCGTCATCATAGAGAGCCACCTTCCTGGGTTGTGGAGAACTCAGTGAGTTACCACATGTGAAGCATTTTACGTGGTGACTGGCACAGAGCAGGTGGTCTGTGTCATTTGTCAGCGTCAGCCTCGTTACTGCTGTCGTCATTAACACTTCTAGCTGTGTGACTTGGCTGTGGGACTCTCCCTCTCGAGCTCCGGAGGCCTGACCCGCGCGTGGGAAGGGACCCTGCCTGCCTCGCAGGGCCAGGGCCACTGTGACTGGCTGGCCGGTGAGCCCGTGCGCTGTCTGTCCTCCCTAGGCTAACTTTGAGGACATTCGTGGTTACCGCTGGTGGAAGAAGCCCGGATGGGGAAGGGCCCGGACACCGGGGAGCCTCCGAGTTGCACACCCAGCCCTGCTGGGGCCAAGTCCCCTCCCACGCCCTGGAGCCCACACGTGGCCTCTCCTCAGACCCCGTCCGTCCTCCTCACCTGGGAGCTTCCCTGGCCCTCCCTCTTCCCAGTCACACTCTCTTCTGGTCCATCTCGCCTCTAAAACACACTCCTCACTGACTAAAACTCTTCAGACGACCTTGGGAGAGACAACCACGTCTGGGATCACTGACCCCATCGATGGAGAGAGACCGGGCTCAGACCGGACAAGGGATGTCTCTGCTCAGAGCCACCAGCAGGACTCAGATCCAGGTCCCTGGCTCCCCAGCCCTCTGAAGAGCTGCTCTGCCTTTGGGCACATGTCTTTGCCTCCCCCTCGTCTCCTTGGCTGCCCCTGTCCCCACCTCCGCCCCTCGACCCCACAGAAACTGGTCCTTATGACAGTGTTCCCGCCAGGTCTGACCGCATCCCTGGTCAGGCCATTTCCCCCGTGCTGTGTCCGTGTCTGCCCCCACCCTGCCCCCCTCCCGCATCTCAGGGGATGGAGGCTGCGAGCCTCAGACAGGTCCACGGCCCCTGGGTGGAGTTAGGGCCGAGGGAGCTGGGTTGGGACTGGAAGCCGCACCCCCACCCATAGGACCCAGCTGGAGACCCTGCCCTCGGGGTGCTCACCTGCCCTGTTAGGCTCTCCCTTTCCCCTCACACTCTCCCCGCTGGGGGGTCTCCTGCCCTGTTAGCCCAGGCTCAGACCCCGTTGCTAGGACCCGTGGTAGCAAGCAGCATCTTATTGGCCAGGCAGCCCGTGTGCAATAATGTGACAGTGATGTCAGGGGGTGGGGTCCCACCGGCAGGGGTCCCACCCCCAGCTGCTCATGGGGCTGCCAGTCAGTCACCCTGGGCCCTCCGTCCCCCACAAAGGACCCAGAGGGAGACCTCTCTAACCCCGAGATTTGTTCAAAACCCATCTGTGGTCTCCGTCATGTCCTGGACGCGGACCCAGTCCCTGAGGGCCTGGCCCTCCTCACCACGCACCCAACTCTGCTCCTCCAACCAGGCGCGCTGTTTGCCCAAGTCATTCATTCTCCCTTCTCTGCGCCATCTACTCGCCTACCCACCTGCGGGGAGGGTGGGGATTTAGCCCTGCCAGGATGACAGGAAGCGCTGGGGAAGGGCCAGCTCTGAAACCACACAGCGGTCACTGCCCGCAGCCCTGCCCGGCCCTGGCCCTGGCCCTGGCCAGCACTCGGCTTCCACACCCAACCCAGCGTCCACCCCCCAGTTCAGCATCTGGTATCCAGACTCCCGGACTCTGGCCTCCTCCCTCCCTCTCCTCTCTCCCCACCCCCTGCCCGTCCTTCAACACCCGGCTCAGGGTCTGGCTCTTTACAGTGGCTTTCTCTCTCCTGCTCTCGCCCTCCTCCGCTTCCTCGCAACCACCGACATGGCGTCAGTGTGACAAAGAGGGAGACAGAAGTAGTGAGAGTTGTGAGTGAGAAAAGGGGGAGGCAGAGGCCCTCTGAGAAAGGGAGAGGTGAGGTGGGGAAAGAGATTCCCTAAGAAAAAAAAACAAGGGAAGACAATGGATGGGAGGCCATGTCAGAAAAAAAAAAAAACAACAAAGAAAGACGGTGTCAGAGATGCCGGTTACAGAAAGAGTGAAAAGATACAGAGCCTGAGATGGGGGTCAGGGCTTGGGGACCGAGACATGCACAGGGAAGGAGCTGAAGGTCTAGAGACCAAGACTCCGGAACCCCAGGCTGCTGGGGGGGCACTGGCTCCCCTCCACTGCAGCTGCTCTCTCTACAGCTGCCAAGCCCCCCTAGGCCCTGCAGTACTTTGAAGCTCTCTCCACACGGTCTCCCCTCCTGGCCTCCTCTCTGCCCAAGCCAGGCACTCTGGGATATCTCCTACCCCCATATCCCGGGAGAGAGCCAGAGGCCCTCGCCAGTCAAAGGATCTCCTGAATCCGACGTTAGGTTCAGCAAAGAAGCTTCTGACCACAGCGGAGGAGAAGGTGGGGACCCGGAAAGAGAATAGGGCAGCTCAAGGCCGTGCCAAGAGTTGCGGCACCGTGGTCTGCTGAGGGTGTAGCCCTGAATTCACAAACCACAAAGACGGAAGTGCAGCCCAGCAGCCCGGACTCATTCGAGTTCTTATGGATGGACACACATGTACAGAGGCCAGGTTTAAAAGTATTCTCAGACATTCCCAGTCACCGAATACCCAGACCGAGATTCCTCCCCCAAATTCACAGACACGAACGCCTGGCCCAGGAGGGAGGACCCTCAAACATGGACTCATTACAGGAAAGCAAGTCTGACGAACACACAGACACACACACCTCACCAACCACATGCACTCAGGCACAGACAGACTCGCAGAGCAGCAGAGACTCAATTATACGCCTCCAGAAGCCACTGCATTCATTCGTGACCCTCATTCATTCTGCTCCAGTTCCCGGGCCACTTCCTTCAGCTCCTGGAGAGCCAGCCAGGAAGGGGGCTGCACCCGTGCCCATCTGCCATGCCTCCTCCACCCTCTTCATTCATCGAACATTCAGCACCTCTGCAGGCCGTGTCCTGTGGGTGCTAGGGATGCAGCAATGACCGAGACAGCCCGGGGCTCCGCCCTGCCAGGGCTGAGAGGTCTCCAGACAGTGAGGACCTAGAGCAAGCAGAACTGGAATGGGGGATCCCGGAGGACTGTGAGAGTGCAAAAAGAGTCACCTGACCCACCCAGGGGATTGGGGAGGGCTTCTCGGAGGAGAAGGCACCTGAGTTGAGATCTGAAGGATGAGAAGCAGTGAGCCTCCTGGTCTGCTAGGGAGTTGCCTCCCAGGCTAGAGATCTGACCTGTGCGAAGACCCCGAGCTGAGAGAGCTCTCGCCAGCCCAATAATTTACTCAACTACTTGGTCGTTCCAGAAACATTTGTTTAGACCTGACCCGAGGCAGGTCCCTGTGCTGGTGCAGAGATGTGAGTTTTACTTGTCCCTGTCCTTACAGCCCTCACGGGCTGGTGGGGCAGCTGACGTGATCCCTGCCGGAGGCAGACGGTTCACTTTCCGAGTACTTACCGCACACTCACCAGGCGCTGCGTGAGCCCATCGAATGGATGGAGTAACTCTTTTAATGGGGGCAAAATACTGCTCTTCCGCATGTCATCCTAAGACATAAAACCCAGGAACTGAGACTGGAATAGACAGGAAGGTGGAGACAACCAAGATGAACACGTTTATCCATCCATTTCTCCCACGAGTTCCCTCTAGAATCAAATCAGAGGGGCTGCTCGTTGTCAGGTGGCTGCGTCGGTGTCGGTCCCACCAACAAGGGAAAGCTGTGCTGCCAATAACACCGTGACGCACTATTTCCTTATCACTAAAAATTTTTATTTCACTGTCATCGAAAATACAGCTGTGCCCTGACTGCTGTGGCTCAGTTGGTTGGGTGTCGTCCTGCAAACTGAAGGGTCACCATTTCCATTTCCGGTCAGGGGTTGCTGGTTCATTCCCCAGTCAGGACACGTAACAAAAGGCAACCAATGCATGTTTTTCTCTCACATTCATGTTCTGTCCCCTCTCTCTAAAATAATTAATTAGTTAACTATTTTTTTAAGAAAAATACCGATTTTCATTGTGCACCACATGTGTGTATGTCTCTAACTAGGAAAATACAAAGGAAATACGTTGGCTAAGCTGCTCCTGAGGCCACGTAGAGTGACTGCAGAGTCACCAAAGCCTCCACGCTGTGCCTTCTCTGCGCCATCAGGGACGGCCACGATGCTGTTATTTAGTGAGTGAGTGAGCGGCTGTTTTGCTTTTACAAGCTGCTCCAGTCCACGGCCACACCGCCCTGAATGCGGCCTGAACAGCCTCTAAGAGCTTCTCCT